GAGAAGGTGAACACCTGCACTATTTCTTTTGAATTTTAGGTGTCAATTTTGGTGAATTCTGATCCTGAGGTGCATGAGATAGCCTATCAATATGGACGAAACGTTGGTATCGCATTCCAGGTAATTCTTTCATTTATATGTGAAATGCCATTTTCACTTGGTTTAAATAGTCTAGTCTATCACTATTCACACTTGCTATAATAGCATTTGATTTTATAAAGCATTTAATCTATACAGTGTAAATAGACTCTATCGGTGTTTGCATGTTATTTGTAATGCAGTGGTCTGTGATCACCAAGTTAACAATGGTTCTTGTGTTGCAGTTGAAAATGCAGGAAGTAATTGTATTTAACATAAATTATAACAGAAACTTCAGCAGTATCTTCTGGTTAGTGATGCACTAGAATGAAAATTTTGGGCCGAAACTGAATATTCACAATGCACTTGGCTTTTTTTTTTTTTTTAAATCGCCTGTAAACCGAAAATTTTATTTTATTTTAAATTAATCCAATTCGTTTATTTATAAACACCCAATTAAAACGGAGTTTTACAATCATTTAAATTGTACATAAGGTGGTTTTTATATATCAAATTTTAAATACAATAAATTGTTCCAACTCAAATTTGCTGGTGAAATATAAGCATTTATATTTCTTACATATTTAGATTGTAATTTATTTTCACCACAGATTTATTCAAACTATTGTTAAAATAATGAAGACAACAGGCTTATTAAATATATATTTATTATGTAATGCAGTGCATGCATTAAGAAAATGCTGCTCTCTAGAGTTATTTTTTAAGCTTACTCTGGAGCTATTGCTGAAAAAAAAAATTTTGTTCGAATTTCGTGATAAAATTGAACTAAAAATTGCTGTTTCGGCTAAAAATGATCTGGTTCTTTCAGTTGTAGATATAAAGGCATATAAGTCTCACTTCACCCTGTCATTGCTCGCTCAAACAGCTTATTGCAGTTCTGTTAATGGTATGTCATTCTGCAACTTTAAGCGGTAAAAATATGGGCCAAACTTTTAGGTTTTAGGTCATATTTTAATAAATCTGTGCTGTTATAGTTGAATTCTTTCATTACAAATGATTCATTACAGGTCACATTGGTTTTATCTTGAATTATTATGTTTAAAGTCAAGTAAAATAGAAGTTTGTTGTCTTTTTCAGCTTGTGGATGACGTTCTGGACTTCACGTCCTGTGCAAACCGCCTGGGGAAGCCGTCAGCTGCCGATCTCAAACTGGGTCTGGCCACCGGACCCGTTCTGTTTGCTTGCCAACAGGTATGACAGCTGAACACATCTGTACTCTCACAATATGATGTCACTTCTCTGAAGTACAGAAAGGGGAATCAGGTCTATTTACAGGTCTAGGTTTATTACAGTCTTAAACGTAATTGTAAAACAGTTTGGATTTTTTAAAGATCTCCCAACCAGTTTCACTCTTTTATCACTGTTTAGTTTCCTGAGCTGCATGCGATGATAATGAGGCGCTTCAGCTCTGATGGAGATGTGGATCGAGCCTGGCAATATGTCCTGAAGGTGAGGAAGATTTGTGTTGTATACAGATGAATCTCATGAAAACATGTCCATTGGCTGCTTTCATAAAACATTACGATTAGTCTTAGAAGCCAGTCATCAATTTTTTTGTCTCTTAGACTGTTCAAAAAAGTCTGTTACATAAAACGTAGATTTGTCTAATTTGTTACCAAAAAGTAAGACTTGACTTGATTACCCCTAACCAACACTATCTCACGACCAATTCGTACGAATTCGACGCATGATTAAAAAGTGTCTAATTCGTACTAATTCGTACGACCTCACTCGTACTAATTCGTACGATTTGTCTAAACCCACGTGATGGTTAGGTTTAGGGGCGGGGTCAGGGGTAGGTCATTCGTACGAATTCATACGAATTGGCCAATTCGTAAAATATGTACGATTTAGCAAAATCGTATTACTTCGTACGAGTGAGGTCGTATGAATTGTTACGAATTAGCCACTTTTGATCATTCGTCGAATTCGTACGACTTGGTCGTGAGATCGGGTTGCCCTAACTAACTCCTAGTTGGTCATACTAGTTCTTAAGACACAGTCTTAACTTAATGGCTGTTTATGCAACTGGCCCCAGGTCAGATTTCCATGGAAGCTCGTTTCCGCCACGGAATCAAATTTTAGAAAAGACAATTGACACTTTTTGACTCACAATTCTGACTTTCTTTCCTACAATTGTGCGATTATAGTCACAGAGAGTTTTATTGAGTTTAGAAAGTCAGAATCGTGAGATATAAACTGACAATTCTGAGAGAAAAATACTTTATATCATGCAATTCTGACTTCATAACTCGCAATTGCAACTTTATATCCCACAATTTTGTCATACATTCACCCCAATATTACAAGAATAAAGGCAGTAAATCAAACCTTTAAGAATTGTATGATATTTTTATAATGTGACATTTTTTTGTATGACATTTCCCCCCCAAAAGTCTCATTAGATGTTTTACTTTAGCGTTGATTGTTATCCTCCCTGAGATCATTACTGTAATACTGTCATTTTTACCATATTCAGAATCAGGGATGCAAACTTGTCACCTTGACACCAAATGGGTCATTTGTGTAATCGGTGTAGATCCGATGGGTTTATAAAATTGCGTGCGACGCCTCATCCGAGGATGAACAACTGAAAGCCGACTTTATCCGAGCATGTAGGCTACTACGTCTCACCGCACTGGCACCCAGTTTGCGTCTAAATTGCAAAGTGTTTTTGTTAAGGTTTTGTTTACTGTGTGTGATTAATTTAAAGGTGCTATATGTATTTTTTAGCGGCCTCTATCGGTTATGTTTCAGATTGAAACTAATTTTCGCAAGAACTATAGTGCTCTTGCGTGTGTTCAAACACAAGAGTGGGCACTCATGGTACACGCTCACACTGAGACTTTCAACACACCGGAGAAAACATCACACAACATGCTGGAAACTCATGTAAACTAAGTTCTACACCCTTGCAAATCGTCTCATTATAACAAAGCGTAGGCATCTATGACTTTTGTTTGATTTGTTCATTGCAAACAGCTGAAAGTCTGGACATTTACCAAATAAACCTGATTTGTATAATATACAGTGTGTATTTAGGTTCATTGAAGATAACAGGAGTATTTGCGTGAGTGAGCTCAGTCAGCCTCGTTATAAAGGGAGCGCTTGGTTTAAGATTTAAAAACATAATTGAATGATTTCTATATTTGAAATGTTATGCAATCAAGGGCAACCACCGAAGAGCTTTGACACAAATCGAACACTTCTTGATATGTATAATAGTAATATGCAGTTAGCAGTTCTGTTTGCAGTTACATTCTGCAACTTTTTCATGCATTCTGATTTATTCGCATATTGTTTCATTTGCAAGGCCATGCAAAATAATAATCAAAACCTTCAGTAAATGACTAACCCTTTTTTTGTTACACTGTATCAGAAAGTCAGTTTATTAAATGTAAATATATATGGCATAATTTATAGAAATGAATACTTATGAAGTACAATGAAAAACTGAATCTTCAACTGAAGGGGTGTGTGATGGCGCAGTGGATAAGACACATGCCTTTGGTGTGAGAGGCCCGGGTTCGAATCCACTGTGAGACACCAATGTGTCCCTGAGCAAGACACTTCACCCCTAGTTGCTCCAGAGGCGTGCAACCTCTGACATATACAGCCATTGTAAGTCACTTTGGATAAAAGTGTCAGCTAAATGAATAAATGTAAATCTTGATTAATGAATAAATGCTGATTATGGCTCCTGATAACATTACTCCAAAGATTAGGCAGGCCATTGGGGTTTTATCATCCTCAGATGGTGATGTGCTACGAAATTTGGGTGTCATTTTTGATAAATCGATGAGTTTTAGCAGTCATGTTAAATCTGTGGTTCGTTCCTGTTTTTTTTTTCATCTCAGGAACATCGCTAAGATTAGATCAGTGGTTTCTAAAGAAGAGCTGGAGATGCTTGTTCATGCTTTTATTTCCTCTCGTCTGGACTATTGCACTGCACTGTACACTTGCTTAAACAAATCCACCATGGATAAACTGCAAGTTGTACAGAATGCTGCTGCAAGACTTTTGGCAAAGACAAACAGAAGATCACATATCACTCCTGTGCTTAAGGCTCTTTATTGGCTCCCAATGAGTTTTAGAGTGCAGTTTAAAATTTTAACCATCACCTACAGGGCCCTCCACCGTCAAGCTCCTTCTTACATCCAGGACCTTTTTCACATTCACTCTCCTGGTCGCTCCTTGAGGTCTTCAGGCCAAGACCTTTTTATTGTTCCTAGAACACGTCTTAAAACAAGAGGTGATCGTGCGTTCTGTGTGGTGGCTCTGGAACTCTCTTCCATTAGCCTTGAGAGCTTTGGACTCTGTAGAAAATTTTAGTAAACACCTTAAGACACATCTTTTTAGACAAGCTTTTAACTAGCTATATGGTGTTGATGTAATGTGTGTTGTGGTTTTTATTTCTTTTATTATTTTTTTTTCACTGTGAAGCACTTTGTGACCCTACATGTCTGTGAAAAGTGCTATATAAATAAAGTTTACTTACTTACTTACTTTAAGTATGCATAGGAAAAGCAAATCTATTGAAACATGTACCTAGTAAATGCTCCAGACGCTTCCTAGAATATATGTATTTTTTCGTATACAAAATTCCCACTGATAAAAGTAAAGTCTTTGGACTTAAATCTGTCATAAAAATAAAACAAATCTTTATCTGATGATGTCAGGCTATTGTTGCTAGAAAGTGTATACTGAAATAGTGAATCAGTTGTATTATTGCCATAAATTGTGGTAAATATGATTTATATATGTTGTTACAATGTTATTCTTTGGCTTAGTGTGTGAATTTAATCAGCCCAGTGACAGCAGATGAAAATGATCTGTTTTTATAACACAAGTGCTAATTAATGAGAGTTGACATAGAAATACAAAAGTCATTGACAAAGAAATACAGTTTTTATATATAATTTTATTATACTGTCTGTATGTATTCACATAAGACATGTACTCCTATACAAACAAGATAAATATTAAACATTGGAAATTATACAAAAATGAGCAAATATGTGACTTAAATAGTCCATTTGGTCGAAGCTGCCTGGTTCTGACTGTTGATTGCTGACTTGGATAGCCATCTGCTGCTTTTCTTGTGTGGCGGACCTGTCCACTCCTGCACTGTCCTGTTGAAGGAACAGACACAATCATGTAACGCTGACCAGATTTAATGAGGGATTCTTAAAGAAAATCTAAAGAAAAGTTGATTCTCCCAATTCGATATGAGGGGTCTGAAGTGAAACGGATTTGATATGATATGTAATGATTCACATTATCATCCCGGATTAAATAAAGTATTTAGTTTCTAAATCTTAGTAAAACTGAGAGATAGGAGGGTCTAGTAAATGCTCTTCTCTGGGTCGGCTGGGACCTGGACTAAAGTCTGTTCTGAGTTATCTGGTTCGGTTGTGAAGTAGTTACCTGAGGGGCTGGACAGTTGTAGGGCCTCGGTTCCACACAGCGCTTTTGTGGAGGTGCCTGACACAGACCTGCGTCCTGTTGAGAGAACAGGTTGAGAGAGCAGGTTTAATGGGTGCTTCTTAGACGAAATCTAAAGGCATGTCTTTTTTATCATTTTTAAATATAAAAGGATTTTAAATTAAGGACCTTGAAAACATAGTAGCATAGTTAAAGGCAATGTTTACTTGTTTGAATACATTTTAAAATAAGTAAAAACTAGCGATATAAGGGACTTACAGAAGCTTCTGTGCTCCATAGAGACGCACTCTTCCTCCATCTGGACATGGATGATCCCTCGGGAGACTTCTGTGGTTGCTGTGGGGAACACGGTGGAGAAAGTGTTCTCTCTGGGGTCGTCCTTCTGGGGTCTTCCTTTCTTCCAGACACTCCCTTTTGCATATACTTCTGCCGATGCCCCCACCAGTCCCTCAACTTCTCCCTCTGCTTCCTTGGGATCCTGACTTTTGCGGGAGACTCATTTTGTGAATCCTTCCTCAAGAGCTCAGGGTTTTTAGGATCTTTCATCTCGGAGATCTTGTCAACAACAAGTACTCCCTGTGTGCAACAAACAGGTGCTATCTCAGGCTCAGGGATCTTTTGATTTTGCCTCTTTGTGGAGGTGTCAGGCGTGGATGGTCCATGCAGAAAAGTGTAAGGCTTCTGCTGCAGCAGTTCCTGCCTTAATGGCTCAGGGATCTTCAGTTTGGGCCTAGCTCCCATCTTCTCCTGCATTGGTGCTCCATGTGAGGAGGATGTGAGCACCTTTGAGGATGCTGCTGGTGCCCTCTGTAGAGACAGAAGAGTGTAAGGCTTCTTCTGCAGCAGCTCCTGCCGTAATGGCTCAGGGATCTTCAGTTTGGGCCTAGCTCCCATCTTCTCCTGCATTGGTGCTCCATGTGAGGAGTGTGTGAGCACCTTTGAGGATGCTACTGGTGCCTTCTGTAGAGACAGAAGAGTGTAAGGCTTCTTCTGCAGCAGCTCCTGCCGTAATGGCTCAGGGATCTTCAGTTTGGGCCTAGCTTCCATCTTCTCCTGCATGGGTGCTCCATGTGAGGAGGATGTGAGCACCTTTGAGGACGCCACTGGTGCCTTCTGTACAGACTGGATGGGCATTGGTGTTTCCAAAGAGGCCTTTATCAGGTGTTTGGTCAAATGTACAGGGATCCTGAGTTTTCCTCTTTCTTTGGACCCTGTGGGGACAGGCGCTCCCTCTCTGGACCTGTTGGGCACAGGCACTCCCTCTCTGGTCCTGTCGGGCACAGGCGCTCCCTCTCTGGACCTGTCGGGCACAGGCGCTCCCTCTCTGGTCCTGGCGGGCACAGGCATTCCCTCTCTGGACCTGTCGGGCACAGGCGTTCCCTCTCTGGTCCTGGCGGGCACAGGCATTCCCTCTCTGGACCTGTCGGGCACAGGCGTTCCCTCTCTGGTCCTGGCGGGCACAGGCATTCCCTCTCTGGACCTGTCGGGCACAGGCGTTCCCTCTCTGGTCCTGGCGGGCACAGGCATTCCCTCTCTGGACCTGTCGGGCACAGGCGTTCCCTCTCTGGTCCTGGCAGGCACAGGCATTCCCTCTCTGGACCTGTCGGGCACAGGCGTTCCCTCTCTGGACCTGGCAGGCACAGGCATTCCCTCTCTGGACCTGTCGGGCACAGGCGTTCCCTCTCTGGTCCTGGCGGGCACAGGCATTCCCTCTCTGGACCTGGCGGGCACAGGCATTCCCTCTCTGGACCTGTCGGGCACAGGCGTTCCCTCTCTGGTCCTGACGGGCACAGGCATTCCCTCTCTGGACCTGGCGGGCACAGGCATTCCCTCTCTGGTCCTGGCGGGCACAGGCATTCCCTCTCTGGACCTTGCGGGCACAGGCGCTCCCTCTCTGGTCCTGGCGGGCACAGGCGCTACTTTTGTTGACCTGGAAGTGAAGGGTGCTCTCTGTGCCTTCTTCTTCCTCCACTCTGGTGTGGTCTTCCGTGTTGAATCTGAGAAACCCCAGTGCTGGAAATCTGGAGCCTTCTCAGATGCATCACTGAGGACGAGGGATGAGGGACATGATGCTCCTGACTCCACTGTTTCCCCCCACTGCTCTGAGATGGAGAAATCAAACTCATAATCGTCAGGTATTGGGTCTGAAACCTCCATTATGGCCCACCACCGTCCCGCAGCAAGGGCCATAGTGAGCTCCTCTGAGTATCTCTGCTCTGCACTTCTCATGGCCATGGTTGACAAACTCATACTTCTTGCTATTTCTATCTGTGAAACACTATGAAAGAAAGAGAAAGAGATGATTTGAGTAAACATACAGTACAAGAACCTGAAAGCTTGTTGTCTTAAGCCCACATAAACTTATGTCGCCCACGTAAACTTAAGTCGCCTGCATTCCGCATTTTGTTATCTGAAGTTCAACAGACATCTAGGCCAATTTTTGTGTTTGCGTTAAAGGTGTGTGTTCAACACATACACTAGGTTATTGTTAAGATAGAAGAATGTTGACTCGACTCATTACTGCTCTTTGACATCTGGTAGAGTATAAACAGGGCCTGAAATTAACACCCGACCACCTGCCAAATGCGGGTGAATTTTGCTATTGGCGGGTAACACTGTCAATCTACCTGCCACATTGGCAGGTAGCCAATGAGAATTGTGAGTGATTCATTAGGATTTTTACATTTCAACAAAGTCCGCTATTGCGTTGGAGTTTAGCTAAAATGTGGCGGCACATTACTGGGGTAAAGAGGCCAGCTGCAACAAACAGCCAACAAAAAGATGAGGATGAGAAAAAGAAAAGTAAAGAAGACATTTTAATACAAAGTGAACAATCGGCGGCAATGGCAAGGTTCGTGAGCGGCTGATTTATGACAGCGACTGTTGTTTCGGAACGTTCATGCGATCAGAAAGAAGATGAGGCCCTTTTTCTGACTACGTTTGGATGTATTAAGTATTAAACTGTTGGTGAGATGGGATGAGATAATGTAACGCTGACGTAGGTTGCAGTACAATGACAGTTGCACAGATGTGTGTGCGTGTGCAACTGTGCATATTGGGAGTTGGGAACTGGTGAGAAAATGTCCGGTACCCGGTAATTTTACCAGTAATAACAGTATTAATTTAGTTCATATTTAACGGTTCCTGAACGCTGTAACTAAAAGCTGTTAAGAGTAAGACCTGTCTACGTGAATAAATCCGCCATCAACACAGCCGCGTGTGATTTGCTTACGAGCTGCGGTAGGTCTATCTGTTGTAGCCTGTGTTTGTGTGTCTGTCAAAATCAATTAATAAAAAGATTTTTTTTAAAAATGTATGTTGTTAGAGTTATTATTACTTGACAGCACTTAAATGTGTATTCTTACAAGTTTTTTTTTTTTTTTTCACGTTTATGAGGCAAAAAAAAAATGGCTGGTAAAAAGTCTCTGTGGCAGGTGAATTTTTAAATCCACCTGCCACAGTGGCCGGTGGCCGAAAAAGTTAACTTAAGGCCCTGAGTATAAATAAGTAATTGTGCGGTGTCACACTGGTCCACCAACTAATAGCTGTGCGGACACGACTGTGCACAAGATGGAGCAGAACGCGGAAAATCAAGTAGGCTATACTCTGGCCTTGAATTTTCTAAAAAATAAAAATGTATACAATGTATGCCCAGCGATCAATCAGAAGAGGAAAGGGGGGCTGAAAGCCTCCTTGAAATGTATCTAAAATGAGCAATGAAGCTAAAAAAGTTAACTGTTATTTTTATCAATTAACCTTCTAATTTGAATAACTCAAATGCACTTAATGTATAATGTATATAGGCCTAGTCATTTTTTATTATGCCGACTGTCGAGTGATTGATTAAACAAATCAGCTTAAAGCAAATAAGTTTTCAGTATGACTTCAGTGTCATCACACAAATATATCGTTTTGTCATTTGAATATAAATTATCAACAATTATGGTAAAATTTTGCCTACAATAAGGTTCATTTAATAAACATTAATGTATTAACTAACATGAACAAACCATGAGCAATACTTTTGTTACTGTTTTTGTTCATCTTTGTTGACGTTAGTTAATGAAAATCCAGCTGTTCATTGTTTGTTCATGTTAGTTCAGTGCATTAACTAATGTTAACAAGATTTTACTAAAGTATTAGTAAATGTTGAAATTAACATTAACAAAGATTAATAAATGCTCTAGAAGTATTGTTCATTCTTAGTTAATGTTAACTAATGTAGTTAACTAATGAACCTTATTGTAAAGTGTTACCACAATTATATATATAAAAAGATTTGATCATTATTGATTAACAAATCATGCTCTCATTTCCACACAAACCACCAGCCTTGCCTATTTTTTTTATATCTAAATGTAGCTACAGCTAATCGAGACTATAACATTCCACAGTTTAAGCAGATTCTTCTTCAAATTGTGAAAATATTAAAATTCAGATCCCCAAAACCCAGTGTAAAAAGTACAGCCTACTTACACAATCGCCGACTCGCTACAAAGAAGAATAATTGCGCTGCACTCACTGTACTCACACCGAACGTTCTAAGCTAAAGGATTCCATTATGACGTAACAGAGATCGGAGACCGGCTGTATTGTTGTATTAAAAGTGAACATGAAATAGAAACAAAGACTGACTTAGATCTTTTAATTCATGATTTTTGATACAAAAACTATAGCGCTGTATTTGTTAGCATTTGCAGCAGGTGCATAAACAGCAAGTAAAGCTGCGAATGGGTAGCCAATCCATTTTATTATGAAGCATAACAGACCACTCAAAGAAAATTAATCAACAGATATTACAATAAAAAGCCCATTTCTGAAACAAAATATAATTCACAAAAAAAGTTCCTCTTGGCTATATGGGTTTTGTTTTCTATTTCTAACAATTGCCCATAGTTTAGCAACATTAGGTTATCAGATGAGGAAGAGTTTTGTTTGATCATCAGCAGGACGTTGATTAAAATAAACAAGTCGGACTTATATTTTGCTCTATATCGCCAATGAAAATAGTTCCAAATAAATCTATAAATCGTTGTGCATCTTTGAGAAACAGTTTCAATGTCTGAAAACTAGTTTAGTTTAGTTTAGTTTAGTGGCTTTAGATGCTCTCTGAAGCGCAGACAGATGAGCGAAACATAACGATGTTTTTTTATAAAAACAAAAAAAAAACTGCTGCTTTCAGGTTTTTAAACATTATTTTTGCTGTAATGTATTGATTGGAAAACGTAAAATAATACAATTAGGATTTGAAACGCAACGCCGAGTTTATGAAACCGATGGGGCAAATTAAGATGATATTTTAGAGAAGTAGCTGTTGGTGGTGCTCGCGTACTAACAATACGCTAAAATATACTAGGCCAAATGTAAAATGTTTTTATTTATAGAAAGACGCCTTCCCTTTTCACCAGGTAGAGATTGCATGTCTTTGTGTGGCTGGATGTTGACAAAAGTAACGTTCTTGCTGTAAACGCAGACTGTGAAAGGGAGTTGCCGCTAGTTCTGATCAGCGATCAGCCGACAAAGGATTCTGTTCAGTGTAAATAAAGCCTTCCGCGAACATTGTGTGATTGTTGATATCACCCATGATCTCTCATATTCAGGTGGCCATACGCAAAACCCCTTTAAAGCTGTATTTATATTCCTGCGTATGCCACACATAGGCTACTATTGACTTTACGGGACAATTTGGGTTTAGTAAGGGACGTTTTGTCTTTTACGGTAGGATTTCGTGTACAGAACGGTGCGACCCGACACGATTTGAAAATGCCTCCTGTAACAGCAACATTGACAAACACAAGAAAAACAAGGTAGCCTATGTAATGTAGCCTATTATTATAGGCTAATTAATGTTTATAAGCGTTAATAGTATCTAATCTTATCATAAATAATAGTTAGAATCATAAATAATAGTTATTTAGGCTTATAGCCTGTTTTAAATAGTCTGTGTATTTAAATAGCACGAGGCTTTTCCTACTCTTGCTATACTAGCCTACTTCATACTTAAAAATACAATTCATTATAAAAATCACTCAGTTTATAAAGGCAAAAGCAAAACAGGAAGTGGAAATGAGCTAAAGAGTGGTAATCTGTTGCCTTTTACTGGTTTCAGTGGTCAAATTATCATTTTATTTTACTGTCATTTGAAAAGTGTTCCCTAATTCTAATAAATTGTCCATGTGTTTAAAAGTTATTTTTAAAAATATTTGATTGTGGGGAAGAAGGAGAATAATATTATTGTAAAAATGTTTTTATTTAAACTATGAAGATGGTGGAACAAATACTACACACTTATGCATAACTGTAAATATTTACATATCCTTGTACGTCTATATAGTATAGTACTATAATTTTTGTAATCTATATTTTGGCCTTAAATCATTTATAATTAGATTATTTATTATTATTATGATGAGTTGGAAAGTTTTTGTGTGGAAATGTTCTATGAGGAAAGTAATGTCACAATGACATTTTCCTTTTAATCTTCCTAAAAATAGTCTTCATTTTCTTAAAAAAAAATTCGCAAAATAGACTATCAGTTTGATTTGTGGTGAAATATATGGAGAAAGTAAAATATTTCAAACATTTTCAGTGATGTATGTATTTTACTCTATTTTAAAACATGAAAAAAAGCTTTTTAAGTATGTCCATTAAAAAAAAAAGAAGAGATTTATTTTCCAGATTTATGGGAATTAATAAATGTATAACGTATCCCATCATATTTTGTATTTAAGTGTTATTCCTAGTTGAAAAAGGTTTCTTGTGATTCCTCCAGCTAGAAGAGTTCCAGAAGAGTGTTTAGTTGGTAATCCTTCTTGTGTTGTGTGTTGTGGTTCTCAGAGTGACGGTGTGGAACAGACTAACTACCTCGCTCAACACTACTGTCAAGAGGCCATCCGTCAGATCAGCCGTCTGAGGCCGTCGACAGAACGAGACGCTCTCATCCGACTGACCGAGCTGATGCTGCGCAGAGACAAGTGAAGCTGCACACACATACACACACACACAGCTGCACCTCTGCAGGGCCCGGGGGACGTGCTACCGTACTGTAATCGCAGAGCCCTGACCTCCGCTGACCTCTGCGAGAGGGGTTTCACTGGTACAGGAGGATGAACTCTGCAAGATCATTGTAATTCCAGGTGTAGCACAGATGTGCTAGTGTCATGTGTGTGTGGGTCCATTGCAGGCACTCACTTCAACATCCGTCCACACTACGAAAGGCCGAATGTCTTTGATTCCTGTGCAAGTGCTCAATAACAACCAAAGGCCTTAAACCTCACTGGCTATTTACGTAAATTAAAGAAGCTATTTTTTAAAGTAGACAGCCTCTTTGACTCTTTTTTTTTCTGATGGAAAAAGATAATTACATACATTTAAAAAAAAAAAAAAAAAAAAGAAGTCTCTTACACTCACCAAGACAGCATTTATTTAATCACAAATACAATCACAATCTGTGATCAAAGCTGCATTTTCAGCATCATTACTCCAATCTTCAGTGTCACATGATCCTTCAGAAATCACTCTAATATGATAAGAAACAGTTTTGATAATTATCAATGAAAACAGGAGACTTTTATTTTGTTATAAAAGTCACTTTTGATCAATTTAATGCAGCCTTGCTTGATTAAAAGTATACATTTCTAAACAAACTTCAGTTTGGCACAGAAAAAATGTAAATTAAGGTTATTGACTTTTAATAGAAACTTAAAAAGGAGGGAAGTCAGAATTGCAAGATATAAACTCACAATTCAGAGAAGAAAAAAAAGTAAGAGGACACTCACAATTTGTACTTTTTCCTAGAAATTCCCAGTTTCAATTGAAAAATGCACAATTACCTTTATTTTTTTAATTCTATGGTGGAAACAAGTGTCCATATTAAACTGACCCATAAAAAAATCCCCCCCCCCAAAAAAAAAAGGTTTAAGTAATACTATTTTTCTTTTTTTTTTTTGACAATTAGATCATGTCTAGTCCATCTAGAGCTGCAGAATCACCACCAGTTTAACATGTAATGCCTGTCTGTGACAAAGGGATAGTTCACCCAAAAATGAAAATTCTGTCAGTATTTACTCACCCTCATGTTGTTCCAACCCCGTAAGACCTTCGTTCATCTTCGGAAAACAAATTAAGATATTTTTGATGAGCTGGATTGAAACTTGCCGGCCTCGATAAGTTATTAAAGACATCATTAAAATAGTCCAAGTGACTACAGTGGCTCAATCTTAACTTTATCAAACGACGAGAATACTTTTTGTGCGCAAAAACAAAACAAAAATAACGATATATTCATTTCCTTATCTATGGGCCTCGAGTGAGTTCATTAGCATAATTGCGTAAGCTTCTGTTATTGTACGTCACATACATGACACACATGACCAGCGTCGGTCAATAGTGAACCTATGTGTGACGTAACCCTTCGCTATCACACTATTTTAACTGACGAGGGCCAAAGAGAAGGACATGAATAATTGAAATAAAGTCGTTTTTTATATGTATTTATATTTATGTAAAGTTAAGATTGAGCCACTGTAGTCACTTGGACTATTTTAACGATGTCTTTAATAACTTTTCTAGGCTGGCAAGTTTTAATCCCTCAAGAAGCCTATGGACTAGTATGCAGGAGTGATCCAGCACTCAGATTTCATCAAAAATATCTTAATTCGTGTTCCGAAGATGAACGAAAGCCTTACGGGGTTGGAACAACATGAGGGCGAGTAAATACTGAAAGAATTTTCATTTTTTGGGTGAACTACCCCTTTAATTGGGTGGTTCAAACATTAATCCAAAACCTGTAAATCTCACAAAACAGCATATTTGAAACTTGAAATTTAGTTTGACCTCCTGAGGTCATGAACATTTGACCCTTCTTATGTTCTATTAGCTCTAATTTGTAGCATTTTATGAAATTCTATGCATGTATGGTATGACGGTTTTACATCCTTCTAAAAAAGTAACAAATAACCAAAATGTTAAATAAAAAGACCAAGGTTTTACATAGAATGATTTATTATAAAAGACTGTACAATTAAATTTCAATTAACATTATAAATACAAATTCTGGGCCGAGACGAGCTTCAGCGCAGATGGAATTCAGTTGGAACACTTCAAATGTTTCAGTATGACAAAAAAAGTCTCAAGGCATTAGCTTTAAACTCCTGAAATGACTGACAGAGGTCAGACGCAGATGAGTGAAATCTCAGTAATCGTTTCTCAGACAGAACGACAGCTCAAAGAGCGAAAAACAGATGAAGAGAGGTGTGATTAAAGCCAGACCCGAGGCCAGAAACTTGACCTTTCCGTTCATTGCTCTCTGTGCCGGGCCAGTTACTCCCGACACGTCTAAATGAGTCCAGCATTGGAAGAATTGTGATTTGTACTGATTAGAGACCTTTAGATACTTTACAGCTTACGTATTCAAGCTATCTACATAGAATTCATGTTTGTTCATTGTAGCAAATACTCTAAAAATATGAACATGGAGGGAGACGTTGTTGAAACAAATGAAAAAAGTTCTGTGCTTCGCATTCATTGACCAAATTAATAAAGAAATTTATATCAACGTTTCACTAAAAATTAGAGCATAAACATAAGTAGTCTACAAATGCCTATATTTAAAATAAAGTGTTCTGTAAATAATACAAAGATGGAAGCTGAATGGAATTGAACGTTTAGGTTACAATACATATTTTGTATGCATGCTTTACGTTAAGATTTCGATGATACACTTCGGGGCGATGACGTGGTGCTTTAAGATGAAACGCTAAAATTAATTCGTCTATTAGATGAGTGATGGTCGACTTTCAGTTGGAAATGTCAAAAGAAAAAAACGGTGACAATCATCTACTTTACATGGTCACATGTTGTATTGACTGTTGAAGATAATGTGATTGACATTCACTACGGAAACCCCACAGGCTAACTTTCATTTTATGTACACTGACTTCCTCCGAATAGTTGCTCCCTCCCGTTCGCCCACATCCACCCATCACCACAAAGTAAAGTTCATAGATTTTCACGATCCGCCGTTTGTCAGGAACAAACATGTATCTTTGCACGCGGTTTACACTGTTCACGATTTCAATGTTTGGGTATATATGATTTTCAGTCGGCATAGTGCATGATGGACTCCACGTAGTTCCCGGGAAACAGACCGGTGACGCCGCTGCTCACTCCCTCGAACCAGCCGTCGTCATTCTTCTTGATGATGTAGATGATGGCTCCTTCCATGAAGGACAACTCGTCGTCCTTATCCTTGATGTAGTCGTAGATGGCAACCACTGCGAAGATGAGCGGTATTAGTTATTAAACAATAAGCCACACCAGGGGTGTTATTAGACAACTATCATGTGATCAAAGACCCTACTGTTTAATAAATAGCTGTATTATGAACAATATAATACAAATAGGTACATATGTTAATAAAAAAAATAAAAATACAAATTTAAAAAAATACTACATGTTGACTTCAAAATATAAATGTTACATACATAAAATACACAAAACAAATAAACAAATAATTGTTAACCAATTAAAATAAATAGTGATGCACTGATGTGAAAATTTGTGGCCGATACCGATAACCGATGTTAAAGGATTAGTTCACTTTTGAAAAAAACTTTTGCTGATAATTTACTCACTCCCATGTCACCCAAGATGTCCATGTCTTTCTTTCCTCAGTCGAAAAGAAATTAAGGTTTTTGATGAAAACATTCCAGGATTTTTCTCCATATAATGGACTTACATGGGAACCAGACGGTCCGAGGTCCAAACGACAGTTAATAACAGTTTCAGATGCAGCTTCAAATGTCTTTAAACGACACCAGACGATGAATAAGGGTCTTATCATGCAAAACGATCGGTTATTTTCAAAACTTATTCCAAAAATGTAACTTTTCTAAGGACAAATGGTAGCCTTGCTCTATTCTGTGAGGCGCGTTTGCAACGTCACGTAATACGTAATTACGTTCAAAAGGTCACGGGCGACGTAGCCGGAAGTACTGAATCAAAATCGCCCGACATCGTTGTTTTACCTTTTAATTCCTTTTTTTGTAAACGGCGTTTGAGTTAGTTTTCACGTTCAACCTATGTGTTTAACTTGTAAACACTGACTCTGTACTTACGGCTACGTCGTCCGTGACCTTTTGAACATAATTACGTATTACGTGACGTTGCAAACGCGCCTCACAGAATAGAGCAAGGCTACCATTTGTCCTTAGAAAAGTTACATTTTTGGAATAAGTTTTGAAAATAACCGATCGTTTCGCATGATAAGACCCTTATTCATCGTCTGGTGTCGTTTAAAGACATTTGAAGCTGCATCTGAAACTGTTATTAACTGTCGTTTGGACCTCGGACCGTCCGGTTCCCATGTAAGTCCATTATATGAAGAAAAATCCTGGAATGTTTTCATCAAAAACCTTAATTTCTTTTTGACTGAGGAAAGAAAGACATGGACATCTTGGATGACATGGGGGTGAGTAAATTATCAGCAAAAGTTTTTTCAAAAGTGAACTAATCCTTTAATTTTGCTGTGATGGCCGATACCGATATTTACTGATGTCCATATCTCTGTATAGAAAACACGTAGCGAGGATGTACGATATTGGTAAAAATTACATTGCAATATTTTATTTTTCTGCAATGTATATTGCTATATAAAAACTATTTCACCAGATGATTTGAACAGCTCTATTTGGAAAGAATGAATCATTCTAGAATGACTGGTTTTGTCATGGAGTAAATCCTCATAGGAACTAAAATTAATAGAATGTTAACTAATGTAGTTAACAAGACTTTAATAAATGGAACCTTATTGTAAAGTGTTTCTCATTTATGTCTCTTGAGTTCAGTGTTGGACAGATCAGTTGTTTCAAAGGAGTCATTAGATCACGAATCGGACGTGTATTACTGCCTGATGAACGTTACTGTGATTGAACGTGTTCATTCTGATGTCTGTGAACGCACGCTCTCTCAGTTTAACTTCGTACAATAGGGTGCCAGATTTCTATAAAGCCTTCCAGACGAAAACCCGACTAAAACAGGCCTTAATATGTAGCGAAAAACACCCAATCTGGCAACAAAAGGCACCAGTGTTGCACCGCGGCCGCCGTCGACAAAAGCAACGAGCGAGGAGGCGTCGTATGATCATTTAAACTGGTTTTATGACGAGGTCGGTGAGGAATGGGAAAAATCTCACATTTCTGTGCAAACTTTGGCCGTCGATAAAATAATTGTTATCTGTGGTTGGTTGTATACGGGCTATGGCAAAAAAAAAAAAAAAGCTAACATAGGGAAAAAAAGAACTATGAACTGAACTAGTTCATTTTAAAATGTGTGTACTGAACTTTGAACTAGTTCACATAGAAAGTGAACTTTCCCAACACTGATTATAATACTAATAATAAAACAACATAGGTTGTTGCGTCACATGAATAAAACTAAACATTTGTTGCAGATTAATAAGGTAGATGAAAAGCTTCACCTTTCTCCATGTAGATCTTGGGGGCCCACTGAGGGTCTCCGTCTGCATAGGGGTCACTGTACTGCACTACAGCTGCCTCTTCATCTTCATAGTCCACTGGAGGAGGAGGAGGAGGGGGCGGAGCCTCGTCGAACATGGGGATGTCATCAGGGGGAGGGGGCGGCGGTGGAGTCGGGGTCTCTGCAACTGGACACCGGCACACATCATCAGTCAGATAACAGACAGGCGAACGCATTAATAACAGAGCGGGCATGCGCTTCATGCAGCTGCAGTCATACATGTTAGTACACATGCTAATCACAAACAACGGGGAATCTGCATAAACACTCATGATGACGGCCGCTGGATTACACACACACAGATCTAGGGATATATGGAGATTATGGTGTATGTATGAAGGAACGCACGGATATGAATACTTACCAGATTTAAAATGGAACAGAAAAGTTAAATTCAACAGTCAAATGATGCAATATTATGGTATATTCCACATAATAAATAGTACACACACACACACACACACACACACACACCATACATTCAAACTAGAACACCACTACAGGGCGGGACTTACAGAATAATTCAAATAAGAGTTCTTATTTAAACTTATTCGTTTATTGCAGTCATTTTAATACAGCTTTAGCTTTAAAATGTTTGGTTATAAATAATGAAATAAATTTTATTCTATTGACAGAAGAGTTGGTATTGTTAACTAAAGCTGAAGGATTTAAAAATGGATTTATGAATTGGGGAAAAAAAAAAATAGATAAATAATGAAAATTAGAAATGTTGTCTTGGCCGCAAACTGAAAAAAGTCAAGTTGAAGAACTAAAATTACTGACAAAATAAATAAATAAATAAATACAAATCCTGAAATAAAAAAATAAAAAAGGATAAAAATAAAAGCGAATTAAAAGACTAATAAATACTATAATAATGCATAAATAATACTAAAAATTTAAAATAGGTAGAAAGAAATGTTGTCAGCTTAATAGAAATAAAATATTTTCCAGATAATATTTCATTAATTTTATTTAGCTTTAGTACAGTAACTTTTAAAAAATAAATTATTAAAAAAATATATAATTGTTAAATTATTAAACAAATAATATGCATATCATGTGATTTATGAGATTTCTTTTCAATAATAATAATAAAATATTACTTATAATGACACCTAACATTTTTCTAAAACGTATTGTAAAGGTCTTTAAAAAATGGTCTTTATAAATGAAAATATATAGCTATATACAGTATATATATATATATATATATATATATATATATATATATTATGATTTCTTTTATAAATTTTCCAAACACTTGAATGCAAAAAAAAATAAAAATCAAACTGACCAGAAGTCGTGCTCATAGTCAATGCATTCTGCGAGAGTAGTCCCAGAATGCATCATGAGAGGGCAGCAAAAACCACTCCATGGGCACTTTCAGACAAAACCTACCAATGACAACTTCATAAAGCTACAGTATCCTCCTTTCTGAAAAATACAGTGCTCTCAAACTGCTGACAGACGTTTAGAACATTGGGATAAATAGTTTCAATCCTTCCCATGGTGCACCAGTGTGCTTCAGCCCTACCTTAAAGGGATACTCCACCCAAAAATTAGAATTGTCATCATTTACTCACCCTCAAGTTGTTACAAACCTGTATGAGTTTCTTCTGTATGAAGATATTTTGAAGAACGATTGGAACCAAACAGTTGTTTGGCACCATTGCCTTCCATAGCAGAAAAAAATAAACATACTCTGGAAGTCAAAGGTGCCAAAGTTCCAGTCGTTCTTCAAAATATCTTCCTTTGTGTTCAGCAGAAGAAAGAAACTTAATTAGAGGGTGAGTAAATGATGACAGGATTCTCATTTTTGGGTGGAGTATCCCTTGCTGGGTACAAAATTAAACAAAAAGCCATACACAAAAGTAGTCCATCAAACAGTGTCCAATATCACACACAGGCAGAGTGTATATATATATATATATATATATATGAGGCATGCTTTATCGCCATTGAATATAACCCAATATAGAACAAACCGTAGAGCACACGTAAAACAATGAACGCCTTTCAAGTCCAAAACGGTAAATTCTTGCCCCAAACAGCCTAGTAAGCCTCTTTAAGGTTACGTAAAGCAATAGACACTTATGTAAATGTGTGACACACTTTTTGTATTCAGAAAACGCAGGCTTTAGGCGTTAGCTAAGGCTTTATTTCGATCTGTTGTAGTGTACTGAATTATACAATGGCAATACGCATGCACTCTTTGACCTGCAGTCGCCACGCAGAATGAGCAGTGACTGCTTCACAAACACATGATGGAGATGATGATGATGATGATGCATGCAGTGAACCTCTAACATATCCACATGCTAGGGTGAGAAACGTGGCCGTCAGACTTACTGTTTTCCTGAACTCTGGCCACAAAGCCTGTGAGTGGGATCTGTGGGGTGAGCTGGGGCATGGGTGGAGGAGGAGGGGCCATACACACTGATTACCACACACACACACACACACAGAGCAGGAGAGACCAAGAGGAAAGAGGAAAAAAAAGCAGGAAGAGAAAAGAAAACATCAGTCCCACATAATAAAGGTGGGGAAGAGTAATCCTATAGGAATAGGAATCCTATATAGTTATAGAAAGACTGAACATAACATTCTCTCAGGTAATCTGATATCAAATAACAAATCGGCAGCGTTCTCATAGCTTTTGACCAATCAGTTTCTTGCTCTTCAGTAACACTTAGGTGGAGTTATTTATCAATATCAAAATTCTCATTTAAGATTGTATTAATCTCCATGTTCTTTTCCACGACTGATTGTATCAATTTAAAACATTTAAAAATAAATCTGGACATTTGTTCAAAATAAATGTGCAGATATTTTTAAGTTTTTCAGATAAAATTGCAATTAAACAATATTTTGCAAAAATTACTCTAATGCTAAGTAGTATTCAGAAAAAAAAAGAAAAAAAAAAGTCAAAAGGCCTTTACTTTGCAGTAGAAAAGTAAAAAAAAAAACATAAATAAGTATTGTATATCATCATAAAACCCTACTGTTCAAAAGTTTGGCTTGGTAAGATTTTTCAAATCGGCATTTATTTGATCAAAATAATAATTATTATTAAATAAATATTATAATAATATTACTAGAATATAAAAAAAAACAACCTTTTTGTATTTTAGTATCTTAAAATGTAGTTCATTCTTGCAATGCAAAGCTGTATTTTCAGCATCATTACTCCAGTCTTCAGTGTCACATGATCCTTCAGAAATCATTCTAATATGCCGATTTGTTGCTCAAGGAACATTTCTTATTATTTACCAAAGTTGAAAACAACTGTGCCAATTAATATTTTTGCGATTCATTGTGAATCGGTATTCTTTGATGAATAGAACATTCAGAAGAACAGCATTTATTTCAAATTCTATTGTAACAAATGTTGGATGATTTAATCCTTGTTAATTAAAAGTATTAATTTCTTTAAAAAATAAATAATTGTACTGACCTTAGACTTTTGGAACGGTGGTAAATATCTTCATCAACCAAAATACAAAAACTTTTGATAATTGTTCTCAACACTTGTTAAATAAAAAAACTAAACGTTGCACAGTTAGACAAACGTAACATAAAAACTAAACCAACTGTCCACATTGTGACGGATGATTGTAATCAGGCGATGTGATCAGTGTCAGGTTAGCTACATGATTAGGATTTCCCCCTGAATGCATGAATGATGTGCGATTAATTCACGTCTGACGCCGATAAACCGTCATTCACTCTAAAGCTCATGGACATCTGACCGTGGGATTTCAAATCTCATCTTGAATGCGTAGAGGACAATAAATCTCCATTCATAAACAGGTGGCCATGGGTCCTGTGCTCTCACAAATCATAAATCTGAGGCTTTTCCGCTCTTAATGACATTAGTGTGTATAGCTACACACCTGTGGAAAGAGACAGGCTGTTCCCTTCTCCACAGACGGGACGAGCATTAAAATTACGGCCTTTATGATGCACGGATATGGCTTTCCACTAGCTATTGCTGGATATAAATTTGACAGGATTTAAATTTGTCATGTGCGTGATTCAATCGGTGTGAGTTTAAAGGTGTTTGAACATTCATGCGGCGTTCTTCGTGTCTTACTTGCGTTTGTGCCCCCGTTAACGTGCGGCTGCTGCAAGGAGAACTGGGAAGACACGGACGGGGCTCGGCGGTATGTTCCTGTGGCGGAAACCATGGAGACGGCGGACGAGGTGTTGGAGTTGTGTCGGGAGATCTGCCGAGATATCGTGCCGAACTGGGACATGGGGATTGGCCCGAGACCCGGCCCAGCAGCCACAGCTGTTAGTGCCCACAGGAGAGGGTACAAAGAATGGAGAAAGTCCAGGAGTGGCCAGTGAATAACACACAGCAGACAAGACAAGCTTCCCAAGATTAGAAAATAACAAATAGGCAGAAGAGTGACTCTTAATGAAACATGTCAAGCACATTTCCAGGTCATATTTTATACTTTTTATAGTGCCGGCAAATCGATTAATCGAGATTAAAGGGATTGTTCACCCAAAAAAAAATTAATTCTGTCATGATTTACTCTCAAGTTCAAAAGAAGGCTGTCAACAGATTGATTACCCATATTGTTCAAAATATATGAAGAGCTCTTTTCCAAAACACGATAAACGCCATTTTTAAAAAAAAAATGAGTTTGTCGTGTCATTCTGCTGTGGACAGAACCCTTTCACTGCTCCATCAACGTTTCATGCCAAATCGCTATATTTCCTTGTTTAAAATGTACCGCAAGATAAAGTTTCTTTCCAAGCCGCGATAAGCGCCAGCCCTGTTTTTAGCCTAAACACGATAAATCCTCAAATTCAATGAGCTTTCCACGCAATCCAGCACGGCGGCACTCTGAACAGAGGTTTATTATGTTCATTTATTCCTCAAAATGAGTCCTAGTTTTCTAGTCGACTAGTAGTAGATCATTTAAGCCATTTGTATTATCAGTAATCACATTGATTTAATTAAATGGGAGAGAAACCATATGAGCGTTTTTAATTGCCTATTCCGCATTTCAACGTATGCATAAAGCTTGCCACAAAGAACCGGCAAAAGTAATGATTATCCATGAAACATTTGAATTGTTTATTAATAAACTAGTTTTTTCTGTCAGTGTCAGCAACAAAGATAAAGTTGATGATGCTTACTCGCCATCTTCGCAGTGAACGCGCATAGAGAAACGCATACTTCGAATTAGCCTACATACGCAGAGAGTTGCCAATTTATTTTAGTTTTTAATTGTTTTGTTTAAAAGTAGATATTTAAAGCTTTCTGTAGCCTAGTTCTCAGGCAAAATGGACTGCATTTATATAGCGCCTTCATAGACCTAATGGCCACCAAAGCGCTTTACATTAGCCTCACATTCACCCATTCACACACTCATTCACACACCGACGGCGGTGTCAGCCATGCAAGGCGCCATCCAGCTCGTCGGGAGCAGCTGGGGTTAGGTGTCTTGCTCATGGACACCTCGACACTTGGTCAGGTGGAACTGAGGATTGAACCACCAACCTTTCGGTTCGTAGACAACCCACATGAACCACTGAGCCACTGCTGCCCAGTGGCAATGGCCTGTGTGAGGCAAGCATCGCGGTGTTTCGGTTCATATTATGAGACGCGCTCCGGTTCACCTGCGCGCCTCTGTGTCCTGATTATATTGTCTGATATTTACTTCTAATGTATTAATCCAGTCAATTTGTCGATTTAACATTTATTAAAATGAAGATACAATTTATATGAAACGAAATTTACAAGCTATCTACAAAACAAAACTTAATAAGTGGTCAAAATCATGTCTGACGCACTCCAAATATTTTCCGATATTGGGCAGCTTTTGAATTTTGATCCTATCTTACTCATCTCATGCGGTTCCCTTTTCATAGCCTACTCAACATAGATGAAATAATAAAAATAAGTAATGTAATATTATTAAAAACAAATGTGAAACGTATATTTTATGTTTATTTTTTTTTTTGTTTTTTTTAACTTATATTTAAGCGTCATGCTGCTCCGCTTTGCTCACATGTTATGTAGCCTGTGTGTGTGTGCATGTGCTGGAGGGGTGCCCATCCCTTTTTTGAATATCGTTATCATATATTGATCATTTTTAATAATTCGTTTTTTTTCATGCATATGTTGAAATTGGTACTATTTGTTTGAGGTTTGACTCTTTACTAAAAATGACTTTACTAAAAATGATACAAAAAATGGATGGATTTATAGCGTTTTGGAAAAAAATAAAATTAACTTTTAAATTATCATTAACAATATTGTTGTTTGATTTAATAATTATTGTTCAAAATGTTCAGACTGAACCAATAAAACATTTAAACAGGATAATTTGAATATTCACAAAATGTGTGGGTCTAGGTAAAAAAATGTAGTTTTCCTGAAAACTATTGAAATGGATTTATAGCGTTTTGGAAAAGAGCTCTTCATATATTGTTTTTGTTTAGCATTTTCCGGTAAAAATTCGTATAATGTTCATACTTCCAAAAAGTAGAATCTGTGATTCTGAATGCCAGAATCCACATCGGCGCGGCGACTGACAGCCGCACATTCTCAAAACATTGGATTCATCCGCGTTGTGCCGTGCCGAGGTACAACTCACATAAAGCTGATAATTCCATGACTAACTGTAATTGCAGGTTTTGAACAGAGATGGCGACAAAGAGGAAAAACTACGGACTGCAGCTTTAAATGAATAAATAAATAAATAAATAAATAAACATATATATATTGTGTATATTTATATAGTATCACAAACTTATGGTAGACGCAATTAATTGATTTGACGACACTACTTTTTAAGCAGAAAAATAAAGTGAGGCCTGATTTTGCCATTATTTTCACAAATATTAAGCAAATATTTTCCCTTCAAATACTTACTGTAAGGCAAGAAAACAAACAAAAAAGTAGATTTTTAAAACATACCAATTGAGTAAAAATTATATTACTGTATTACAATATGAGAACTTAATGAGAATCTTCATAGAAATCAATGAGAAACTCAAAAGTAATTATTTTTCATATAATATTTCTTTTGATTTTGGGTTTAAATATGACCAGGACATGTTTAATCAGAATCACAAAGAAAACCTGGGCTTGAGAAACCCAACATCAGAAACAATGGCAATGTAATTATACAACATAATAACAGGACCTGCAATAAAATGTGCAAAGTTAGAAAAGGCCCTGAGAAAGAGTACCATGTTATAGTTGTATTTGTAATAATATAGTCCTTGGTGTGTTTACACTGCAGATGGGATTTCCTCTATAGGGACATTTCCTGTTGACAGTGTCAGATTACAGATTACAGGGAAACCCTAGAGAGACACGCTCTCCCTGATAGTGATGGCAAGAACGAAGGAACAACAAACACAGTGGACAAACATCACTGTGGCACCACAAGCCTTCACCAGTGACATATGATATGAACACAATACAAATATCTCATTTAAGGATTAATCTCTCATTCCAAATGTGTCCTGCTGGAGCCAGTGAAAACCCATTCTAATGAACAGAATTATGGGATATTATGTATACATCTTACATTTAAGCACTTACAAAAGTAATTAGTCAATTTGTCATGCACTGGCTAACATGATCTTTCAAAAGAGTCTGCAGTGAGGAAGTCTCTGACAACTCATCAACACAATGCTAGGTTGTTTAAGGTGGTTGCTAAGGTTTCTAAGTCTGAAATGAGTCAAGAGAGCCCACCCTCAAGATTCTATAATATTTTGGTTTCTAGATACAGCTTGAGTTTATCCATGTCAAGGTGATAACATTAGTAAAACTTCAGTGAAATTAAGCTATATATTGGGAAATGTGGTAAATTTGCATGTTCAACAATCAACAAGCTTAAATCCAATGCCAAATCCACATGAAGAAATGTTTCACGAAATTCCCATTCACGCAGATTCCTAATAACAGGACTGCACTTCGCCATTCAAAAGGTATGTGACGGCATCTTAAGGGGTTAGCACACCCAAAAAATGAAAATCTTAGGAACACAAATGAAGATCTTGACAGCTACTCAACTACCACTTTAATAATTCAAAAAGTTCATAAAGAGATCGTAAAACTAATCCATATGGATTGAATGGTTTAGAATGATTTTTTCTGAAGAGATTCGATCACTATATATGATGAACCGATTGAATCCAGAACCGATTGAGATTCATCAACTCGCGCATCAGTTGTGGTAAAAGCAGGTTCAAGCAGGTTCACTTGACATTGGGGAACCAATGAGGTTCATTCTCATGTTACGCATCACGTTTGAGCTTCCACATGAAAAAGGTTCTTTTGAGCTTCTATTTATGTTCGCTGATCAATGTTTATATGTGAATAAAAACCTAAATTAAATCTGTTCATCATATAAAGTGATCATGTTTCTTCCGAAAATTTGGACTAAACAGCTCAATTCATATGGATTAGTTTTACAATCGATTTTTTATGAACTTTTTGAAGCGTCAAAGTGGTAGTTGTGTAGCTGATTTAGTCAAAAAGATCTTCATTTGTGCTCCGAAGATAAACATGAGGGTGAGTAAATGACAGAATGTTCTTTTTTGGTTGAACTATCCTCAATAACCCATCAAAGGCCCAAGAACAATAACTATAAAGACAATTATAACAACAGCTATATTAGTGTCCACACCAATGGACAATAATGTTCTGTTTATTCTAAGAGCGCTCTACAGTTTTATCATCTGCCACTTTAAGCTTTTCAAAGTCTGATGGATTCTGATTGGCTGTCAATGTTTTTATTGTTACTCAGCTAGAAACAATCGAGTAAGTGAATCCTAAAGCATCATTATAGTTGCAGTGTTCCTATTCTCACAGAATTAGAATGATTATTAAAACATTATAGTTATTGTCCTTGGTACGAATAGGCTATAAGTCTACTGGATTTTTTCCCTAATCACACAACACTAACATAATGAATAATTTGAAATTCCTATAAGGCAGTTCAGAGACTTCTCCACAGTGCATTGATTTAAATTGGTTGATTAAGCAGAAATCCACCACCCAAAATAACAATCATCACCACCACCAAAAGTGACCCCTTCTGACACCCACAGACGGACAGGTGGATGGCGGGACGGTAACGCCGGTGTCGCCTGGAACAGATTGTGTGCAGTTGGCGATGGGATTGGGGGAGGGGCTCACCTATAGCAGCAGCTGGCATTGGTGGACCCTGACCGGGGAGAGGGGGTGGAGGAGGAGGGGCTGGGGGGGGAGCAGCCCATGAGGGTTCGACTGCGGGTCAGAACGTCATATCAGAGAAAACACACCTTGAGCGCGATTCATTCATTAATAGCGCCCAAAAAAACTAAGCTCTGTTCCAAACCCAGTGAGCGACATTGCTATCTACATAGATAGGCAGCATGATAACAATCCTATATCTTTGTAAGTTGACTGATTCCACAAGGGAAGCAACTTTTGGTGGCACACAAATATCACTTGATACATGAAGCACATGCGAGACTCGACTCTAAATTGACTGCAGTGTATGTTGATGTTAGAAATGATGCTAAGCTAACAACACGATGCTAAAAACATAGCACAACACAAACACTGGGTAAATAGATGTATTATATAGTATAAAGAACTGCAGTGACGACAACGATCACCCTGGACGTCTGCATCATTTCATAGACAAAAACTCGACGGGATTTTTCCATTGGCTCTTGTATTATTGCATAAAAAAGCTCTCTGACCAACAAAAGCTTATAATTCTCACATGTTTTGTTTACCATTATAATCTTCACAAATGCGGAACTTGGAAGCATAAATACAATCGCTATAAACAAACTATGCCATAGTAGTATGACATCATCTCGAGCTTCTGACAACTCTTTCAATCTTTATTTAAAACCTACAAGCTATAATAGTTTGCAAAAGTGCGATTATAAACACAACGAGGCAATAAAAGCAGACAAGTGAGTAGATTAATTTCCTGTGAATTTCCTGTATCAAGGCACATAAAAGCTTAAAAATATCACAAAGGGGTTGTACTGACATTTTTTTTTTTGTAGAATGAAACTTGAGAATATATAGAGCTTTTGTTAACCACAGACCTTATTTAAGGCATTTAAAACCCATTAAAACCCATTGACTTCTGGACAATGGAGCCGGAAGGGTGAAAAGGCTTGTTTCTGCGTCTTAGTACTCAGTCCTGCAGTACTCAGGACCAAAAAAAAACAACCGTTTTTTTTTTTTTTCAAATACTTACAATAGACTGAAAACACTCCATAAACACTTTTTATTTTGACAGAACTCATCTGAACTGATATTTTCAAAAAACTTGTTTATTATATTAACTCTTTTGTGTTTATAAAATATTCAGAACTGAATGATGCAAGTATAATCAACATTCTCTCAACTCTGTGCGCCATCTTGGGTTCATTTTGTAATGCAACCGTCTTCTCCATAAAGCATACAACTGATGCTGTCTAACAAGAGCTAAAACGAGGAGTCTCGGCTTGACAGTTTAGAATAGCCAAAATGTGTTTAAGATGCCTTAAAGCCTGTTCACACCGGGACGAATTTCGCACGCGATATTCGCCGACGTTTAACGCCTCTACGCCTTTGACTAAACAAAGGGCGCCAATGTGAGTGTGCACACTGATGTGGAAAACGGCACGCATAAAAGCATCATTTTTTTTTAAAAATCGTTCGTTTTTTTTTTAGTTTGACGCGCCGCGTCAAAAACTATCCGACCAATGAGATTGCAGCTTTTGCTCACGTGTTTGGAGCTTCTGGACTGAGTTACAGTAAAACGCTCAAACACAAAACGGTCTTGCCGAGCACACATACGTAATGGAGAAGAAGATCTACGCCAAGTAGCGTCGCAGTCTACACTGCCAGGAAGAAATTAGACGAGAAAGATGCAAGGCAAGATGAATGTAGAGCTGCTGGTCTCGTTGGTGTTAGAACATAAAGAACTATACGACAAACGCGACAGCGACTACAGACATCTTGATAAAAGAGAACTGTTATGGAGTGGTATTGCAGAGCAAATGGGCGCCACCTAATGTCAGGGAATGAATTTGCATGTTCACTCGGCTCATCGTCAGCGAAAATCGCTTGGGTGTGAACACAAAAAACACGTTGAAAAACGCTGGCGAATAACGTGCACCGACATTCTTCCCGGTGTGTACGGCCCTTTAAAATGCTACCAATGTAGGGAGCTCACTAGGTTTTGGGAGCCTTCATCAAAGCCCAGAGGAAACACCTTACATTTTATTATGCAAAAACCCAAACAGATAAATAAAAGGGTACAAGGACGGAGAAGCCGCATTCAAAAGTCCTGTCAGCACTAAATAACCTTAATCCAGGAAAAGGAAATCAGAGGTGCTGATGCAGTGTTGCTATGGTGACTGTAAGGATTCAGAAGGGTTGGGGGGAGGACAGCGACCTCTTTTCTCACTAAACTCTTTTCTTTTCTCCTGTTCTCTGCAGACAGACCACCCTTTAGAGTTTTCCACTTCCTCTCTATTTCTACCTGTCCTTGTTTTGTGTAGTGGCCTACTTTGACAAACCTTTAGCTGGAAGAATCAGGCCATGGACAACTAATCCTGCTTCTCACTCCAGAGAACAGGAAACACTGCAGTGTTAAATACCCACATGTGAAGAGTAAGTCTAATTCTCCAGTTGGCCCTAACCTAGGGCAGTGTGCTATAGCAGCAGCTCACCTGGGACTGAGTTGGGAATGGAGGGAGTCGGCACAGCGATGGGAATGCCGATGCTGCCGCCACTGTTCTCTCGACTGCCGCTTCCCCCGCTGCTGCCACTACAGAGAGAGAGAGAGAGAACACATCAGATACAGCTCCCAGCATATATATCATATGGTTTCTGAAGTATGCATACTGTGTATAGTAGGTGGATTTTCCACACCAGGATGACCTACTACATCAACCGAAAAAGAGAATACTTTGAGGAGTACTGTATCCCACAATGCAATTTGACTTTCAATGTGATGGAAATATCAACAGTGATCTTTTTCTTGTTAGATTAGACGGCAAAAGACAACAATAAAAATGTATCTTTAGAAATATTTTAGCAAAATATAATTCACAGTACATCTGTCTGTCTTAATTTCTTCATTCTCAAGCTTTTAATTTGACACAAAACCGAGCCAACGTTAAAACATCTCTTTTGTTGACAACAGATGGGTTTCAAAGCGCTTTTCATTACAAGTTGGCAGATTTTGCATTCCCAAATACATAAGTAACCCAAACTCAATAGTGGATCATGCATGCATACTGTTCCACGTATTATTTTAAAAGAACAAAACGTCGTATACTGTGAAGTATTCAGTAAGAAGTAAGCTAGTGCTCAGTTCTGAGGATCACAGGCTCACATGGTAAAGTGACCTAGATACACACTTGGCTTTGAGATGCATTGTACTACGTTTAGCCATACGTTGTTACACGTACGTTCAGCACAGATCAATTGATGGATTATTCAACACTGTGGAGCTATGAGCATCACTGCATCAGCTTTACACCCCCACATGATCCACTGTGTATCCATGTAGAAGCCAGAGCAGGGCTTCCCATACTGCACTGCAAGAGATCTCATTATCACAGCACAGGCTTTATTGCTCCATTATCTAAACGGAGATCGAGTTAAATGATCTGGTTTTAACTAGGCATGTGCAAATCTCTTCCAATTTAATGATTTTCTAATTATTCTGTGGTTTGTCTGAAAGACTAGTGCTGGCATTTAGAGAAGATCATAGAAGATGGTTTCCGCCATTGCATAAACAAAATAAAAACGGTGTACCAGAAAATTTTGATGCAATTTCGAGTTTATATTTCACAATTGATTTAACAGTCTATATCTCGCAATTAAAAATGTAACTAATAAGCAGTGTTAAATGTAAATTATATTATCACCCATTGATATATTAAAAATGATACATCTGAATGTACCAACCTACAGTACATATGCTCATGTAAAGGAAGTAACGCAATATAGAACATCTCAGCTGTGTGATTGTTTATATCCTTATTAACCTTTAAGCTTATCCACAATACATACACTACTCACTTAACCAATACATACTACAGTGCAAATCTCATTTGCCAATTTTTGTATCTGGTCTCAAAATGTAACTTATTGCCCAGCTCTTTATATGAAGTTGAATTTAAGTATTTCCAACTTTATCCGCACACATACTGTATAGCATTCTCGTAAAGGGTGATATATCCTGTATAGCATATTTTAACTGCTTGATTACTTGTATTGTCGCAAAATTGTAACTACATCATCGCCCAGCTCTAATATTATATAATAACCATTATGATATGAAACTATGTGTATTGTGAAAAGTGCTATACAAATCAATTTGACTTCTGGTCATCTGACCACTCACAACTGTTTCGTGAAAAAAAGAAATCACTACTCATCATCACCAGATTACTAGATCCATTTTTAAATGTAACCTTAGAGAAAATAAATGGTGATGGTCATTATGACTGTCGTAACCCATTATGGATCGGGTACCCAAAGAACTTTGGATGAAGGCATCACACACAGAGCTGAATAAGCAGCAGTGAACGCTTCTGGAGAGCCGATAATGGCTGGGGTGGAGACAAGGATTCATACTTCATCCTAATCACACAAGAAGCGCATTTACAAATAGCTGACGCTGCAACAATCACATCGATTGATAAACACTTTCGGCTACACATCAGTAATCGAGAACAGATTATTCAATTAAAAATATATTTGAAGTGAAAACAATGAATCTCTTTTCTCGGATGTCGCTCTTTTCCATACATTAGACAGTGACCAAAGACTGAGGCTGTCAAGAGTGATGCAAAAGCACCATATCGGTCAAAAGTTTGGTATTTTATTTTTGAACTAGATGTATTTTAGGGTTAGGAGTAGGGGTTGGTTTAGGATTAGTTGTATGTATTTATTAGGGCTGGGTATTGACACAAATTTCACAATTCGATTCGATTTCGATTCACAAGCTTGCATATTGATTATTTTGGATATCAGTTACAATAAATGGCAAATTTTCTCAAGGAAATCAAATCTCTTGAGATTCAAAACTAATACTGTAAACTAATGCTGTAAACTAGTCTAGTTGTAGCCTACTAGGCTTCATTAGCCTAATATGAAGGTAATAATTAACTGTTTTGTAGCTATACAAACACTAAAATTATTAAAATAAACTATAAAATTATTTGTATAATAAGAAGATTATATGAAATATAAACATTTAAATGGAGGCTATCATAAAAACTTGCCAGATTTATTCAAATATGCATTAAATAGCCTTTAAGAAGAACATTAAGATAATGCATATGTAATATGGTGTATACATTTAGCAAAATACTCCTCTATACGCCTTATTCACGGCAGCGCCATCTTTGATTTTTAATGAGAATGAAAGCGAGGCTGTGAGGGATAGACTTGCATCTCTTCAATGGGCTGTACTGTTATTTAATGTGTTTTCGGATTGTTCTGCTCATGAAACACTGGAAAAATATCTTTCTAAGAAATGTCAGTTGACAAAAATCTCCCGACATTATAAGCTGTGGAAAATTGTAAGTAATCTAGCCGCTTTATTCAGCTTTTTACAGCGGATGCCATTGGAAACACGGTAGGCTAAGTCTATCCCTCACAGCCTCACTTTCATGCCTGTCATGGCGCTGCTCTGAATAAGGTCTATAGAGTTATTATTTCTAGCTGACTAACGAGTTTATGTGGGTTTTCTGAGGTAAATATGACGATCCATGACATTGATTACAAGCTGTTTAACTGACGTCTTTCCACGGTTGAAACGCTGATTGAGCGAATCAATGTGACATGATACGGATTTCGATAAGTTGTACTCTTATCTTTTAACACACTTTCAGATGCTCATTCAAGTGTATTTCGCGCTGTGACTGGTATTATTAACCCGGAAGAGAGATCAGCGCTGCTGCTTCTCTGGAGCTGCGCCAGAGCGATCTCACGCCACAGCGCCAAAACGTTATTTATGTTTTTGAATTTCTAACCATAATGGACGTAATTTGAAATTTGAGACTTTGTTTCATATAAATAGTAACAAAGGACAAAGATTATTGCGATTTTTTGGATGCGCGCAGCCGCGATTCATTTGAATGTCCCATTCATTCAAATGAAACAGGATGACTAATCGATTCTTGAGATTTAAGAATCGATATCGGTTCGTAAAAATGAGAATCGATTAGTATCGAGAAATCGATATTTATTACCCAGCCCTAGTATTTATGCACAATTTATGATAATTACCATAGAAACTACAGGTAACGTATGTAAGAAGGACACTGAAATAAAATGTTACAGAGCACTTTCATGGTGAACTGATTTCTACATCATTTTAGAAGCTTGAATGACTAATGGTGGAAAATATGATATTTTCCACTTGTGAACTGGTATTTATCAGTGTGTTGTGTTCAAGTACTTTTCTTGTCGTAATGTGGTAAAAAGATGGAGATCTAGACCTGTTATTTAGCTAAAACTATTTTAGATTTCTTAAGTCATCTGCTACAGCAAGAAAATTATTTATCAAAACTCAAACGGTAAATATTATGCTGTATATTTTCTAAATCATGAATAGTACATATTTTTACCATTCACGACTCTCGCGTTGCTCTCCGCCATTTTGAAAAGGACAGAGGTTCTCATCTCGGCAACTCGTGCATTAAAATATTATACGAGCTGCCCAGTGGAAAATACCACATAAGGGGGTGTTCATGTGCATTTTCCACGTCGGCTTTTGGTATTTACCATAGCACGTGAACGCACCATAAGTGTACATTCAATGTAATTTTACCAGTACAACTCTTCAAAATGTCTCTACTTTGTGTTTTTATGGAGGAAGGCAAAAAGCAAAATCCTTTCTTCCCTTTAAGTGAGTAATTTGATGGATTCAGAAGGCCACACTCACAAGAGCTGGCGTTGTGGTGCCACTATTTATACAAATTAAAAGTGTATTATTTATGGCATCACAGTCAGCATTAACTAACGAGGCCACTTCATTCAGTCATTCTGAGCCTGAACGCTGCAGTGCTGATTGTGTTTAGTAAGCGTGGGGAGTGGGATGAGGGGTTATTCCCTCTGGTCTGGAGTGCGGTTGAGGTGTGGGCTGGTGTGATGACATTATTTACAGATGTTAGAAGAGTGGGTGTGAAGAGTACGGATCGCACACTGGAAACCCCCAGATCATCGTCATTTAGACATTAGCAACATGAAGAACATGAGCGAAAATGTTATACCCCAAGAGGATGTCAAATATGCGCTGACATTCAGAAATAAAACTGTGGAGGCTGATGGAAAAGTGTGGGAGGGGACTAGTGGAAAAAGCCAAATGAAGAGAGAAAATGAGATATCGGATTCATTAGTAAAGCCCTTGCACGCATCACATACACAAGTGTGTCTTCAGGCACAAAAGCAAATAAGAAATACAAAATTACTCATTAAATAAATAAACTTTAAAGCTGCAGTACGTAGTTTTTCCTCTTTGTCTCCATCTCTGTTTGAAATCTGCAATTACAATTATTTGCGGAATTATCATCAACTTTACATGAGTTGTACTTCAACACCCTCGACACGGCACAGCGTGGATGAACACAATGTTTGAGGAGCGTGTGTGTCTGTCAGTCACTGCCGGTGTGGATGCTGGCATTCAGAATCACAGATTATTCTTTTTGGAAGTATGACTGACCAACATAAGAATTTTCATTGGAAAACATCATCTGAACAACTAAGAAACATCCACTTTTGTTCTGGTTCTGACATTGCAGTAAATCGCGCTGATTAAATCGAAAAATCGCTTAGAAGTTATCACACAAAACCGGTTGCAGTCTCTTTTTCCGTAGCCACTCCGAAGTCCGAACAAAGTTTTTTGCATTTTACAACGGGTGAATCTCTAGTTCACCGGTGATTGTCATTTGAACTTTTCTGGATCCGCCATCAAATTGATAAGTAAGTTTAATTATATCAAGTGCTGAGAAAAGGCTATAAATCTCCACCTCCAACATCCTCACACGCAATATAGCCTACTAGCCGAGATTCCTTCATTATGTGTACAGATGCGTGAGTACAGATGTGACGTAATGGCGCAAACACATGCTCGCATCTCCTGCGGGAATCAACCAATATCACTGGAATTAAAAACATTATTACAAGCTTACCGCTTTGAATCGAGCTAAGGCAAGGAGAGAGTTTTGAACACTGGCTGGTTATGTATTTTATCAAATATGTATTTTGGATAATTTTAACCCATTAAAAAGCTAAGGACTGCAGCTTTAAATAATATTATAATAATATTCTATTTCTATTCTAAATAATAATATTATAATATTCTATTCTAAATAATAATATTCATTAAAAATGTGGAAAAACAATTTGATAAAAAATTATAGGTATAACAATAGAATGATACAGTAGATATTATGATAGATAGATAGACAGATAGAGACAACCAGACAGATGGAGATAGACAGATAGACAGACAGACAGATGGAGATAGACAGATAGATAGACAGAGATAGATTTATACAAACAGATAGGTAGACAGATGGATAGACAGATGGATGGATAGATAGACGGATAGATAGATAGACAGATGGATCGACAGATTGATTGACTGATAGACAAATAAAAAGATCAACAGACAGATAGACGGATAGATAGACCGATGGATAGACAGACAGACCGAACAATTGATAGATAGACCGACAGATTGATTGACTGATAGACAGATAAAAAGAACAACAGACAGATAGACAGACAGATGTGTGTTACCTGTGGGTTCTGGGTCTCTGGTTGAGAGATGCGGTGCGTCCTGGACTGTGGTGGCTGCCCAAGCGAGCTGGACTCGTCATGTAGTCATTGGGAACAGTTGGAGGTTTCACCGGCTCAAGCGTTTTATAAGGATTGTTACGCCTGCAATCGCATTTAAAACAAACGGGCATATCCGATTTATGACACGATATAAGATTTCCGACTTTGCAACCGAAAATTGCCATTAGTGTTGCACTATTGTCTGATAGCTTTATGAATCTGCTCAGTAAAGTTATCAATCTTTTCACACTGAAGTATATAATAAGATTTTACCCAAGAGTGCCTCGTCCTTGCAGGGGTGGGCTGGGAGGTTTCTGTGTTGGCGGATTGGTCCTGGACAGGGTTCCTCCTCTGACTGACTGATTGTTGCCGTGCTGCTGATTGGACAAGCAAAACATCAGTTGAAGAAACATCAGTTGAACATCAGGTTACGTTAATAAGACTAAACGAATGGAGCCGAGAAGGGGACTTTACCAGACAAAACTATAGATTTCATCCAAACGTTCTGTTTTCTACTGCAATAAAAGGGCCTCATTCATATATGAGTAATGTGTGTGTAAAATGGACCTTCCTGAAAACTGTTGTGATTTGTGACCTCGGATTTGATAGTTAAAAGTTTGAATGTTAATGAAATGATTCCTAAATAAGATATGCATGTAGGCTCCTTCACCATTAGTATAATCTCAAATCACAACTACTTGAACATGTAATGCGGAAACTCCTATCTATAATTATTGTAAATAGTGTTATCAAAGTGCAGTCTTATCTCAAAGAACACAAAATGTTTGGATATTTTATGCAACATTTATGTTTGTATGGTTGGGAGCAGGTGTACATTTTTTTTCATGAATACATTTTCATGAATCCATTTGACTTTGAATTGACCTCAAGCGGATTTACATACTATTTACACATAAAAATCATTCTGCTCGTGTTTCATGAATGAGGACCATTGATTTAAAATGAAAAGACAATTAGTGGATCATTTGACTATTTCTAAACAACAAGATAACAGAAATAACATCATAATAAATTAACAATGACATATTTCAATAATAGCAAAAAGGAAAATGTAATTGCAATCCATTTTAATTTTACACAATATGCCCAATATGTTTATTATCCAATCATATCAGATTTGAATACATACAGAATGGGAAACTAATACTTAAAGTATCAACATTCTCTTCTACAATCTGAAAATGCTCAGATATCAGTTGACGTACTGGCCTCGCCAATATATATCAGTCTATCACTATCATATAGACAAAAAACCTGACATTGACAGTCAATAAATTACAAACTAAATAATAGAAGCCCAAATACTTCAATTAAACGAACATGATATGGTGTTAAAACATGTAATAATCTTTAAATAATACAGCTATGGATAACTTTGCAATGGGATTGCTCTACAATTACATCACATGTTGAGGTTATGAATAGGCCTGTCACAATCATACATTTGTGTTGAGAAATAACGGTCATAAAAAAAAAAAAACAATCACTTCACATTTTCCTTCTGTAAGCATAATATGTTATGATTGATTCCAAGTTAAATGTATATATATATATATATATATATGTATATATATATATATATATATATATATATATATATATATATATATACACTGTATAATATAATGTGAAATATAGTCTAATCTAATAAATAACCATGATAATATATATATAATAGGAATTGGAATTTGGATGGTAAAATGTGCTTGACATTTAAAAACCGCACAATTCTCACATAATTGTGATTAGGTTGAATAACCCAACCAGATGAATAATCGTGACAGGTCTATATGAGGTAAGGATGAATGCAGGAATATGAATATGTCATTGGATCACAGGGGAGATTGAATCAGTTGATCAGTAATAGACTACAGCAGGACGGGTTCATGAGACAAGTACACTTACCTTGGCTTTAAGCCACTAGCGAGGGCAGGAAAAGAGAGAGTGTGATTTATAGAATAAGAGAGAAAAAACAAAAAGAGGGAGAAAAAGAGAGACAGAAACGTCAAAAATCGTCATGTCTCAGTTCAGAGCTCTTGAAGCAGGACAAAAGCACTTTAAATCTCCAATCCTATTTGACTGCATTAGAGCGGAGAGTGGCGCTGCTAAAATGCTTTTCCCTCTTTTGATAATTTCTTCGATTGAGTAGTCTGAAGCAGACATTAATAACATCCCTCAGTCTCGTTTCATAATGTGTTATTTGGGTCTGAACTGCAGTGTGATTAAAGGAAATAACTCTTGAAAACGTGAAAAAGTATTCATCCCTCTGGGTTCACCACCAAACCTTTTCATGCACACAAAAGCATTTGTGTTTGTTTGCCACATATGCATGCATATGAGGTTTTCTATGAGAATAACTTAGTTATGCAATTATTAAATACTGTATAAATGTCCACATAGCTGAAAAAAACTGCAGTGACAAAAACGACTCATCGCAACAAAGGCTGCAAGTGTAGTGACTGCTCTGCACTACATGCAAAGTGTGGCATTATTAATGTGCTGTCTCGCATGAGCAATGGAGGCCAAAGTAACTGAGACATACTCATACATTAGAAAGAAACAAAAGAATTAGTGTAGACCTGAGAGTTAACAACAGTGTATTTCAGCAATAAGGCACTTGAGGTCAGTCTATAATGTGAGGATATAAAGGATGATGTTAGGCACAGCGTGTTGTGAAGCACCCTTCAACTGTCACTATATTAACAATATAACAGGACCTGATGAGCCTAATTGCTTTTATGAAATAAGTTAATATAAACACAACATAAAACCAAATAAACCAACAAATAAATAAGCAAAAATACATAAACTGTCCTACCCCCTCTCTCTCCCACTTTCCTATCTCAAAAAAGCCAAAAATAAATCTTTAAAAATAAAATAAATAAACAAAACAAGCAAACCAAATGAAATCAATTAACTGTATAATTAAAATAAACCAAATATATGTCAACTAAAAACAAATAAACAAAATATAAACGAATATTCAAATAAAAGAATACAAAAAGTTAAAGAATAAATAAACCAAATAAAAAATAAAAAAACAAATGAAAACGCATAGCAAAAAAAAAAAATAATATATATATATATATATATATATATATATATATATAATATTATATATAATAATAATAATATATATATATATATATATATATATATATATATATATATATATACCAAATAAAAATAATTCTAATTATTATATAAATATCCTAGAAGTATGCTAAGCCAGTAGTTTAACAAGCCAGTAGAAAATACAAAGTAGAAACATCTAATTAGACTATTTTGACATTTGGTAATATATTAGGAAATAATAATTTTAAAAAAATAGACTGAACACATAATATACAAACGCAAGAAATCACACGTTTTTGTAATTTACACGAAGATGTCTTCAAAAACCTGTTTTCAAAAGTTTGCATTTTCAGGCCCCGTTTTTTTTTGTAATAGAGCGGCCATAAAGCATAAAGGTATTCAGATTTTAATAGAAAACAGTGTTGTGTAAACGGCCCCTAAATCTTGCACATCAGTTTCGAGGATCAGATCCATCCCATCAGGCAAACACACATGCGGTGTTCATCTAGAGATCTCAGTGGAATCAGTCGAGAGCAACAATCCTGCCTCAGCCAGACAGAAATACAGCTTAATGTTTCATACTCTGACAGCGCCAGAATCCTCTGCGTTTTAGACTGCGAAAGCGCTTCATGTTCACCGAAATAGGCAAACAAGAGGATCCTAATATTTTTCCTGAACAGGGAAAGGAAGTAAAATAAACTAGTCAAAAAACGTCAGAGAACTCCCCAGCATTCCTGTGGCTGCTGACTGGATTAAAGTGTCAACTGACATTGAAAATAAATCTCAACTTTTGCCAACACAGTAAACGTGTCTGAAGACGCTGTAATCTCGGTCAGGTGACTCAAGGTGACGGCTTCTCTCACTGAACGACGTCAGGTGTAATTAATAAAACACTGCCAGATTCTGTGCCAGCCGGGTCAGGGTGAGATCAACATCTTGGCTTTAGTTAGTATACAAACTCTGGAACTGTGGTATAGGTGACAAATGTAAACTTTTAAGGAATAGTTCACCAAACAAAGTTCATTGTATGGACATAAAAATAAAACAAAGTTATATACAAAAAAAATATTATTTTGTGTTCTGCAGAGGAAAGTCTATTAATAATAGTAATTGGGTGAGAAAATATAATTTTGACATTTGTATGATTGAGCCACCGGTATAAATAGAAACCGTATAGAAATACTGATAAATAAAATAAATACATAATTGTGGAGGTAAACAATAACGATTAACTGCATCCATTATGTTCTGTGAGCTTCACAAAAAAATATAAAAATAATAATTAATGAATTAAATAGAAAATACACTACAGTGAAAGTTGAGTCAGTAAAATCCTAACTTTAATAATAATTAATAATAATAATAATTCGTTACATTTATATAGCGCTTTTCTGGACACTCAAAGCGCTTCACATAGAAGGGGGGGATCTCCTCAACCACCACCAATGTGCAGCATCCACCTTGATGATGCGACGGCAGCCATAGTGCGCCAGAACGCTCACCACACACCAGCTTACTGGTGGAGAGGAGACAGTGATGAAGCCAATTGGTGTATATGGGAATGATTAGGAGGCCATGATGGACAGAGGCCACTGGGCAAATTTGGCCAGGATGCCGGGGTTACACCCCTGCTCTTACGAAAGACATCCTGGGATTTTTTATGACCACAGAGAGTCAGGACCTCGGTTTAACGTCTCATCCGAAGGACGGACTTTATTTATTTAAAGAAACGAATACTTGTATTTATCATGGATGCATGAAATTGATCAAAAATGACAGGAGTAATGATGCTGAAAATTCAGCTTTGCATCACAGGAGTAAATTATATATATATAAAATAACAACTTTTTTTACATTTTAAAATAAACTTTTTTTTTCTATTATAATGTATTTGATTACCTTTAACCCCAATAAATGTAAACACATACATTAATATTGATTATGTGAGGCTCATCCTATAAACGCTCGTAATCGATTGGCCGTTGGCTCGCAGGCGTCACTTAAGCCCTAATCCCCTGTGAAGGCCCGCGCTCACAATCCTGCCAGATGAACCACAGATGGAGGGTCACGGTCACTAGGTCAAATGTTTTTACATTCAGCACGTCAGATAACACAGACGCATGCTGGAATGTGCACTGCATTGCTGGATATAAACAAATAAATAAATATAATAAATAAATGTCAGGTATTTTTTTTAAACTACAGCCCCTATCGCAATACTAGAGGCAGGAGTAACTGATAACTTTCATACTTTATTTTATTAGACAATTTTAATAAATCAGAAAGCCTACTTTAGATACTCTAACCCCAAGCGCAGTCTCAGCTGGTGAGTCACAAACAACAATGCTAAATGCTACTAGCTAGTGGAGGACCAATATGGATTTTGATGGCAGATAGCTTAGAGACGGCCAATATAAAGCCGATTAGGGTGCAACGGATCACAGAACTCATGGATCGGATCAAATCGTGGTTATTGAGTCGTGGATCAGATCATTTTTCAAATGGCGGGAGACGCATATAACTGTGGTTGTGAAGTACTTAAAAGTGTTCTTTAAATAATAAATCATAGTATTTATGAGGACACTTGAAGAGACGGATATTTTGACAATTTTGTGTGCAGGGCTCAACGCGAAGGATTGTTCCTACTGGATTTTCCCAGTGATTAAAAGTTAAAAGTTAAAAAGCTAAAATTTTCACTGGCCCCACCCACAAAAAATAATAAATAAATAAAATAAAATAGGCCTAGATATTGATTTCAGTGTGCCTAACAGTATTTTTCAGGTATAGAAACTGAATAAAGTAACCACATGAAAAATAACACTGCATAGTCTTTATTGAATAAAGATAAATCCTCATTCAAGTTACAAAAACTATTCAGCCGAGCTGTGAGCAATTTTTTTGTATTGTTGTTTGATTAATATTAAAAACACAGAAAGCATCAAGAATATTAGGCTGCTGTCACTTTAAGACCTAATTCACGAATTCAATAGTATAGCCTATTGTTTTTCCATTTCATTTTTCTATTGTTTATCAATGTAAACACATGCTAGATGAACGTCTTTTGCACCGCCTAATGCATGGCACAGCATTCTGAAAGTTCAACATTTAAGTGTCTCTAGACCGTGGGCTTTTATTCGTTTCACTGACCTGCATCTCGTGCTGGCTCATTGTTTTTATACATATTTTAATAATTTTAAAGGCTATTCACTTGGGTCTATTTTCATCACCTCCCCCAAAAAGAAAAGAAAACACCGATTACTCGATTAATCATCAAAACAATCGACATATTATCAAAATAATCGTTAGTGAGATATCACCCTAAAAATGTAAAACATAACAAAAACATGTGTAAAAAATGCTGAAATTAAATAAAAAAAACCTGGATAAATACATTTCTAAAATGAAGAGATTTTTGCATTTTTCACAAAAAAAATAACTTGTCAAATATAAGACAAAATAAATGTAAAAAGTAAGAACCATGTAAGCAATGTATTTACCTTCACTCCATGGCCGACATCATCCAGCACTGTGAAGTCGATGGGCTTCCTGATGTACCTCACCGGCCGCTCAATGTTGGCAGGAGCGATGATCTTATGAGTCCTTGATGTGTTCTTATTTGTCGTCAGGATGCCAATCTCTCTCCGGGCGACCTTCTCCTTGTGGATGTCCACTGTCTGATAAACACACAAGACAAAAACAAGATTGACAACAAGGTCCAGAAGCCTAGCCTATAATTTGATTACATGCTTGTCATAAAATAAACTACATTTTCTACTTTGGTACGCACTTCAGAAATCATTTACACTATGGTTCAAATGTTTGGAGTGACAATTTTTTATTTTTTATTCAAGAACATGTTAAATTGATCAAAAGTGACAGTAAAAACATTTCAAATTTTACAAATAAACACTTTCTAAAAGTATCACTGTTTCAACAAATACATTAAGCAGCACAACTGCCAACACTGATAATAATCAGACATGTTTCTTGAGCATTTCTGAAGGATCATATTACACTAAAGACTAGATAAATTACATTTTCAAATAGAATTTATTTTATAATAAATACAAATGTATTATATATTTACAATAAATAGTTTTTATTTATTTTGTTATTTTAAATTGCATGAATATTTCACATTATTGCTGTTTTTACTGTATTGTTTGAATGAATAAATGTAACATTGTTGAGCAGCATAAGTAAAAAAAAAATGATTACAGACATTGAACTTTTGAATGGTGATGTATATCATTATATAATATTATTTCTTTTAAAAAGTGAATGAACCATGGTGAAAGCCAGGGGCTTTGGAGACGTGATATGACACGCCAGCCAGTCGGACCGTGTAAACACACATGCAGGGTAAAGTCCATAAGCTGTTAATGTGAAATTAGTGTGTTGATGCGACGGACACGGAAGGCTTCCTTCAGCTGTGATTCACTGTAGTGCCTGTACCCTGTTGGGCGAGACATCCTCCGGCTGTTTTAAAGGAGCTTGTGAAGAAGTGAAACACTTTTCCCCTTAAACAGACACTACAAAAGAGAAAAGTACCCCTAACGGTGTATAAAACACCAGGCAGCCTCTATTTTTCAAACTAATAGGGCACAAAAATCACATGCTGTGTCTCAATTTGCCAACTGGTACTAACACATTAAAAGTATGCCAGACATACTACAGCGTGATAAAACCATTACTGTAGGTAACACATTTAAAGCTTCAGCCTCTGCAGCCATTTCAAGCCAATTTTCAACATTCAGAAGCATCTTAGAGATGCATCATATTCATCTCACAAATAAATCATTAGAAAATCCACCAGAAAAGTACACAATCCCAAATGTGATTCAGGATGCACTAATTCTAATTTTGCATACAGAGAGTATGAAAATAGGGATCCAAGGAGTATTTCTGTGAATACTTTAAATACTTAAACTAAAAATATATAATTAAACTTCTTTCAAAACCCTGAAGGTGCTACAGTGCCTGCCCACTTTTTCAGCAGCGCTGGTTCTGGAAGTATTTTTTTTACCACTCTTTTCCACAATGTGTCAAGCTTATTGCAATAAAATATGCAATATATACAAATATTTAAGTATTTTGAGAGGTTAAGGGAGAACGACTTGATTCAGCGTTTCATTTTTGGATTGTTTCGATTCTGATTAGTGGAATTTTCTGTACAGCATCATGGGTAATGCAGTTTTTCTCCATGAATTAATGTTGTTAAACAAGATTATTTTAAGAGTAAGTTGAAAGTGCAGGCTGACAATTTCAAAAGTTCAGAAGGGCTATCTTTAAGTTAAAAGTTATTGTTAAAAATCAATTTCATGGAGAAAATGAAACTTTTACCATATAATCAATCATTTCAAATTCCTTTAAAAGAAAACTATAGAAGTTACATCAAAATTCAGATTACTTTGTGAAAGTCTATTTTACTACACGATTTATTTTGGTGATTTGTACACACTGACTATGTATTTGAAGATCATTTTTAAATCACATTAAATGACTAGTCGCTAGTCACTAATCAAAGATACCAGTCACAACGTGATTTGAATTACTTTAGGCCTTCTTTTGATTTATAAATATTTTTTTTTTACCTAATTCAGTGACATCCCACATTATATAGTAAATCTCATTTTTAGATTGTGGAATTCTGTGATTTCCACATAGTGGAAGTCCTAGGTCTGTTTTCAGTGTTGTAGTACTCGAGACTCGGACTCGGTCTCGAGACCATATTTTAATGGTCTTGGTCTTGTCATGGACTCGTGTCCATTTGGACTCGGAATTGACTCGTACTCGAACATTTTTTTTTTTTAGGACTCGGAATTATTCCCGAGTCCACTCGAGTTCAATTAAAAATATTTTTCATGATTATTAATGTATGTTAATAAAATATTTTTTTTAAATTGATTGACATGCCCAGTGATTGGTGATTTTCTAGTGCGCAACTGCGCATGACAAATTGTAATAAAATTACTTTTAACACCACCTACTATGTGGCCTTTTTACCCTAAACTGATCATATTTTTCTATTTTTCATATTTCATAACTCTAAGTAAATTCAGTAAAAAAAAAAAAAAAAAGTCTCTAAGTCTTATTTCTCTAAGTAAATAAAAGTAAATTAGGTAATCAACCCTCACTGGTCTCGGTCTCGACTCGGACTCGACCGTCTCTGGTCTCGGACTCGACTCGGACTCTACTCTCTATGGACTCGGTGTCGACTCGGACTCGAGTGAGGTGGTCTCGACTACAACACTGTCTGTTTTTCAGGAATTTTCCATTGATCTGCTGACTATTTTCTGACAGACCTCATTCTGAGAAATGCTGTCCTAAATAATATACTCTACAAAACACACATACATGGAAACATGTTTATTGTGATCATGTAGAGCTCTGAGAAGAATATGAGAAAATTTCCCCCTGATGGAAAGAATGTCTTTATATTTTATATTTGATAAATGGCTTAAAAAGATGCATATCTTCATGTTTTCAACTCATTCTGATGACTATCTACAGTTCACCCAAGGCCAAAATCAGTGGCATAAAAAGCTGACACAATGAATGCTGGGTGTTAATATGAACGGCTCTGCATCACTTGCACTAGTGCTGAGGTTTCAGTTCCCTATAAAGACTCAACTTTATGGATTCCTCAATTAGGCTTCATGGGCAACAAAGTTTACCAGTAACACACCATACAGCACCAATTAAAATGTTTATTGCCATCTGCTTGATCTAGTCTCTCTCTCTTTCTCTGGCACACGAGAGACGGGAGCAGATGCAGCAGGCCTCCTGTTGGAGATGAAAGGGCAGCAGTGTCTGCAGTGCAGAAACACAGAGGATCCCATTCATTTCTCAAAGGAGTCAGAGCAGCTCCAGCTCTTATTCAACATCAGGAAGAAGGAGTCTTGTGCACTGCGCCCTTAAAAACCTCTGAGGTTTAAATTCATCAGCTTATTACTTAGTCATCTCAAAAGACTGCTTCAATACTGGTGTAATACTACGTACAAGAGCCCTTGATTTACACGCACAACTGTGGAAGTCCAAAAAATAAATAAATCACTTTAAACGAAATTATCGGGTTAACGATATGAATATGTTGGAACTGCCTTAATTCTATTCATGGCATAGATTCAACAATCTGTTGAGAACATTCCTCAGATATTTTGGTCCATATTGACAACAGGATCAGTCGCTGCACATCCATGATCTCCCGTTCCACCACATCCCAAAGATGCTCTATTGGATTGAGATCTGGTGACAGTGGAGGCCATTTGAGTATACATAGTGAACATAGTGTCATGTTCAAGAAACCAGTTTGAGATGATTTGAGCTTTGTGAAATGGTGCATTAGCCTGCTGGAAGTAGCCATCAGAAGGTGTGTACACTGTGGTCAAAAAGGGATGGACATGGTTTGCAACTATACTCAGATAGGCTGTGAGTATAGCCCAAAGTGTTCCGGGAAAAATATCCTCCACACCATTACACCACCACCATGAACCATTGAGACAAGGCAAGATTGATCCATGCATTCATGTTCAATTCTGATCCTACCATCTGAATGTCGCAGCAGAAATAGAGACTCATCAGACCAGGCAAAGTTTTTCCAATCTTCTATTGTCCAGTTTTGGTGAGCCCATTTGTACTGTGGACTTAGTTTTTGCTGTTCTTGTCTGACAGGAGTGGCACTGGTAAGTGTTCTGCTGCTGTAGCCCGTCTGCTTCAAGGTTAGACATGTTCAGTGCTCAGAGATGCTCTTCTGAAGACCTTGCTTGTTTTACTGTTGCCATTCTATCAGCTTGAACCAGTCTGGCCATTATCTTCTGACCTTTGGCACTAACAAGGCATTTTCACCCACAAATCTGCCACTCACTGAATATTTTCTGTCTTTCGGACCATTCTCTGTACACCCTAAAGAGGTTTGAGAGCAACAATCCCGGTAGATCAGCAATTTCTGAAATACTCAGACCAGCCCGTCTGGCACCAACAACCATGCCATATTCAAAGTCACTTAAAGGGTACATATCATGCTTTTAAATCATTCATTTTTACATATAAATCATACCGCTGTGGTCTATATAAAACATAACTGCAATGCTTGGGTCTGAATTCCTCATTATTATAGCTCAACAAGCCACTTTTCTGATGTGCTTCTGTGAGCAAGTCGTTTCGAAGCGGCCCCTTTAAATAAAAAGGAGATGCGTCACACCCCACCCGCTCTCCAGGTCGATGAGTTCATGGTCAGTTCAACTCCCCCGTTCGGCCATTATTGTAGTTTGATTAGAGATATACGATTATATACGATACCTTCAAAGAACATGTTTATTCACACGTTAATAAAATGTCAACAACAGAAGACTTGTCCATCAAGCCTTACATATTCGAGCCAGAGCGAGCGAGTCGATAAAGACGACGACGAACCTGCAGAACAACCTCTTCATATGGATGTAACGTTAGTGGTATGTAAGTTAACTGATTTGTGTTATTAGTGAAAGTCGACTATTTCTCTTGTTAAAACAAGCACACTGACATGATAAATGACTACGGTCTAATCTTACCACAAAAAATCTGTATTGATAATATGATACGCTTAGAAAAGTATCAGAAAACACAGCAGCTAAATGACCATTTATGAAACTCAAGAACAATAATACTGGAGACGTGTAACGTTACTTCAAAA